CAATGCACATGTAAATGACACTTTAATTGGGTAGCATCTTATTACTCTCCCAGATGGAAATTACTTTACAAAGGGTGAGGGCATAGGATTATTAGACTCTGATAGGGTTTTTTTCCAATTATTTAACAACTGCACATGTAAACAACCTTTTGTTTCTGTATCAGTCTGTCTTTATTTTTAGAAGTTCATCATGGTAGTAATTCTGTGTCCTTCTGGTAGCAGTTGATCAACATGGAAAATGTGTAGTGAACTTCTTGGAGACTACTCTTTTTCCCATCCCATCCCAGTTAAAGGAGACTGGATTAATGAGAATAATGTTGATGTATTACTGACATTGCTGTCACGTCAATCTTGGAAGAAAGGCTTTGCCAGAGAGGGAAAGCAGATTCTAGAATAGAATAATCTTCAGCAGAGTTTTGTTCCACAGCTTGGTCCCTGCAGGTGAGAATGCTTTATATGCCCATGTGCTCTGTTCTGAACTTTCTGGGCTGCATTGACCCAGATGAGTGCAGATGGCTTTGTAGTCTGTGGATTGAAAAGCTGTCAGTAAAGCATCAGTGTCCAGACTGACCCACTGGTGGATTTAAAGATCAGGATCATAACGGCAAAGGAAGTGGCATTTATAGAAGCTGATGGAAGTTACAGTCGCTGGTTGGGTGCTGTGTTCCAAGTGGCAAACTGACTGCGGTAAGAAAAGATTTGGGGGAGAAGAGAAGCACAAGCAGTTTATTTTCCTTAGTTGCTTTATTGCTTTACAAAAATTCATTAATTTGTCCAGTATAGGTACTTTCTATTGATTGCTCTAATTTGATTTGGCTCAGCACTGCTTTTGTGGCTGGTAATTGAAATCACCTGATTATAGTTTCATAGTTTCTAGGGTTGGAAGGGACCTGAGCAGATCATCTAGTCTGACCCCCTGCCATGGCAGGAAAGAGTACTGGGGTCAAACGACCCCAGTAAGGTGGTCATCCAACCTCCTCTTAAAAACCCCCAGGGTGGGAGCCTGCACCACCTCACTTGGAAGCTGGTTCCAGAC